ATATTATATTTATCATGGCTGTTAGACATACAGATGGAAACATCAAGCAGAAAGTTTGATATATTATTAATCTAGAATTACAGGGTCAGGGATACAGATTATATATATATATATATATACACACATATACACACAGATATATACAGATGTATATATATTTATAAAATATATATAATATTTAAAATCACAGGACTAAATGAAATAACTTAAGTGGAAAGTAGTTGTATATATGACTGAGCTCTGGGGAATCTCATCATTTAAAGGTTGAACCAAGAAGATACCCACAGACAAGACTGAGGAAGAATCTCTGTGGCAGGAGGAAAACCAGGAGAATGGGGCTTTTTGCAAGCCACAAGAATAAAATAGGTCAGAAGGGAAGGAATGTTCAACCACAGAGAAGTTAAGCATGATAAATAACAGTGCACCCAGTGGATTTGGGAAGCTGGAGTTCATCAATGTACTTGACAGGCAGTTTCAGGAAGTAGAGGGGAGGGAAGCCTGGTTAGAATAGCTGAGGAGAAGAATGGAAATGCTGTTTCTAGTTTCTCACCTATTAACCACTCAACCCAGGGTTGTTATTACAAAGGAAAAACAGTAAAATTGGACAACAAGTAGAGGTCACTAGGCATGAAGGAAGTTATTTCCAAGAGACTCAATCATAACATATTTCATACAAGAGAAGTAGATAGGGAAGGTGTAGCAGAAGGAATACCTAGCTAGGAGAAATCTGAGAAGGTGAGAAAAGACGAGATCTGGAGCCTCTGGAAAAGAGTTGACTGGGATAGGTACAGGGACTTTTCATCTAGTATAACTGGAGGAAAGGTCATAAGTATGGGTATAGAAATAAGGAAGTTGGTAGACTTCGTGGTAGATAGTTCTCTTGTCTTTGGGAAGACAGGTCAGTCTTCAGCTGAGAGGAAGGGGAGGGAATGTGGAAGAGACATGAAGGCAATGGGAAAGTTGTGCAGTGCTCCTCTTGGAGAAGGGATCTCCCTATGGCTTGGAACACTGGTGATGGCTTGAGATGTGTGGCCATGAGTTTGAATGAGAAGTCAATACTACTGTGACCCGTTCTAGGAAAGTTCAAGAGTGTGGCTATAGGTGAAAAGAAGGGGGAAACTGGGTTTAACCAATACTGGAGTTCTAATAGGTGAGTATAGTTGAAGGGGATAAGAGAATTTAAAGATTTGTACAAGGAATGTTAATGATGGCTGTGGAAGGGAACTGAGGATATGAGTGAGAGTTGTGATGCATGAATGCCAAGTGACAGAGTTAATAATTGGTGGCCTTAGGGTGCTGCATGTGGCAGCTTGGGAGGTGGATTGGATAGAAGGTGAGGTGTGTCAGGGGACATGCTGTTGTAACAGCAGAGGAACAGTTATAGGACATAGGAGTAAGGAAACAACAGGGGTCCAGAGACAGAAAAATAACTGTAGATAACTTGGGGAACTGAGTGCTGGGGGATTCGACGGAACATCCACAAGACATTGTCATCAGCAAGAATAACAGATAGCAAGAGAGAGGGAACTCATTTGTGACCTGATTATATGCAAGATGTAAGAGTCCTCCGTATATATCTTAACCAAAGAATTTTGTCAAAAATGCTAAGTGTTGTACTTTTCTAGTGCCTTTTGGTTCCTAGATAAGCTTCCAAGAGGTTCATAGATTAAAATCAGATTGATATCCTTGGCTGTGGACAAGGCCTGGATGGTATTGCTGAAGCTGACTGAACATCAGAAAGTCCTAGAAGTTTCTGTTTGTTTTCAGACAGACAGCTGGGCCTGGCCACAGAGAGCCTAACTGCCCCAGGGCTGAACTAGGACAGAGAACCCAGGGGCTATAGAGCCCTGCCGGGTGATTCTGAACATAACCATGGGGTTAAACCATAGTATAGTTCCCCTTAAGTGAAAGAAACAGCTTAGAAGAAGTTCTCTCATACTTAGTATTATTTAACCAGGCTAAAGAGATAAGGAAGTGGTGCTAAATTTCAAACCTAGAAAATGTCTACATGTTCTATCAGGAATTTTAATATAGTATGAGGGGTTTATTTTCATGCTCTTCTGGTGAATATGTGAATAAACAATGTTAGCATACTACCGTTTACCCTGTAGTGACTTAGAAGTGACCGCGTCACATTTTGGGGAAGCTGTATACTCAGAATCTGTGTTTATACACTTTATTTTTATGTTAAAAGTCCACTTTTTATTTTTTTTAAGGATTTTATTTAGTTATTTGGCAGGCAGAGGTCACAAGTAGGCAGAGAGGCAGGCAGAGAGAGAGGAGGAAGCAGGTTCTCTGCTGAGCAGAGAGCCCGATGCAGGGCTTGATCCCAGGACCCTGGGGTCATAACCTGAGCCGAAGACAGAGGCCTTAACTCACTGAGCCACCCAGGTGCCACAAAAGTCCACTTTTTAAATATTTGTCTTATATTTTCCTCTTATTCCTTCTCTGAATTTAGTAGTAAACATGCTCATTTACCACCGTAAACCTTTTGGCATGGGTCGTTATGAACTTTTCTTACCTTCTCCATCTCAGAAAGAACTAGATTTCATTTATATATCTTTTATTCTAGCACAGTGGTTTATCAAAGTAGTAAGTATTCAATGAATAAACGAATCTAAGATCGAAGTAAGAAGTATCACACGAGCTCTCTGATCTCTGCATTATTCTTTAAGCTTCCAGGTGGTTTCTGGGAAAGGTAGTGGATATAATGACATGTGGCTTTGATACTTAAGAAAAATGAGACTCGATGATTTCACAGAAAGTTCCCGAAGTGTCAAACCTGCAGCAAGTCATTTTTCTCATCAAGCCCTCATAAACTCAGGCAAGGAAGTCATTATGCTAATCTTGCCATACCCAAGTGTCTTCCCTCCCAGCAAAGCTCCATGGGACCTCCTTTTTGGGAAAAAAAAAAAAAAAAAATCACTGGGGCCGGTATCAAAGAAGGAAAAAGAGCCCAATACCTAATACCTGGTTTGCCTCGCACGGTATCTGATGGTGCACCATTAGTGCTCTGGTTTATAGCGTTAGGATTAACCTCCTTGAAGGCACTAGAAATCCTCCTGGTAGCATTTAGTCATTCACTGCCTACCAGCCACTGTGAGCCTATGTAATGGAACAGGACATTAACCTAGAAACCATCCCTGACCTCAGGAGTTTACGATCCAGTTGGAGAAAAATAAATGTAAGCATGATAAATGTTATGATGGATGAAGATATGACGCAGGTCACATAGGAGGGGGCAGTGACTCAGAACTGGAAATTCAGAGAAGGCTTCCTGTAGGAAGTGGCATTGGAGCTTTGAGTCGAGGGATGAATCTGCTTTTTCTGAGCCCATGGTGAGAGAGCTCTGCTTCAGGCAAAACAACAGCAGAAGGTGAGGGGACGCAGGGAGCATGGTGGGGGAGGGGGAAACCCCATGTGCTTCTGTGTGGCAGGAGCCCAGGAGCCAGATGATGAAAGGGACTTTATTTCATATGCATGAGTTTGGACTGCAGAATTCTGGAAACAGTGGAATCCATCAAAGGGTTTGGGGTGGAGTTTGCAATACAGAGAGAGAGTTAGCCATAGAAATAGGCAGTCTGAAACCCTTCAACGCTCTTTTTAGCCAGTTGTACCCTGCACCAGAGAAAAATGAGCCACACATACAGAAGTTCACCAATGAAGCCAGAATTCACGTTAGGAACCTCACGAGCAAAATAAGAAACTAGTCCAAGTTCATGAGCCTGTCCATGCACCTGCACGTTAGTGTGTCATACACATCATTCTGCTTGTAGGTCTGGGGCTTGTTATTCGCTAATATTTTCAAGAAAAGAGGACCCTGACATGCTCAGTCTGTCCAAGACTAAGGTCACCTTATTCTGGGGGCATAAAAGCCACTTGACTGGGCTGAAAATGCATCCCCAAAATCTATTGCAGAATTTTATCTTTAATGGCTTTTGTGAATTTAGGCTGAAGGGCTTTAATGGTGCATTAGGGAAGGACAGTAAAACCCTGGGAAAGCAGAAGCAACGGCCCTTACAAACGGCAGAGCTGTTCTCTGCTTGATGAGTGCCGCTCACACCGATACTTGGTCGTAAGGACTCTGAAAGCTCTGTGGGCCGCTCCTCTACGCATTTACCATCAAACCACTCCCTTCACGGAAGAAGGTGAGTTTTGTTCTCTCCTCTGGATTTAACAATCTCATTAGTGTCTGCAAGAGGAGTCCCACTCTTTTAACTACCCCAGCAATAATATTTACTAAAGCAACTAGAGGCATTAGAACATCATCTTGAAAAAGTTTCCAATTTCTGCAACTTTATAATACAACCATATTCGGTATCATCTTTTTCTCTTATTTTGTAGAGTCTTAACCTTCAGTCCAGTGACACAGATGAAAAGGATAATAAGTGTTACTACCTTATGGCAATTTAATTGCCCGGTGCTCCTAGGAGTTATTCTCACATGTTTACGGGTCATAGGCTACTTAAGAATTTAAGAATGTGAGCTTTCAAGGAGGAAAAAATGAAACAAGACAAAACCAGAGAGGGAGACAAACCATAAGAGACTCTTAATCTCAGGAAATAAACTGAGGGTTGCTGGAGGGATGGGGTGGCTGGATGATGGACATTGGGGAGGGTATGTGCTATGGTGAGCGCTGTGACTTGTGTAATGCTGATGAATCACAGATCTGTACCCCTGAAACAAATAATACATTATATGTTAATAAAAAAAAAATGTGAGCTTTCAAATGAGACTCAAGCTCAAAGCCCAGTTCTTCCTTTTACTAATTCTCTGACCTTGAGTTAAGGTGCTTAACCTCTTTAAGCCCTCGTTTTCTGATCTAGAACTTGGGGGTCTTCATGGTGACCATGTCAGAGATTCACCGTGGGAGCTGGAATGATGACAGGCTGGCTCATTGTTTCTACCCTACTTGGAACTCCTGTGCATTTTCACTTTTATCCTGTAGTTCTGGTTTGTTTGATTTTGAGCAACTTTTTCTTTTCCTTTCACTCCCCTAGGGATATGAAGCCTGACAATATTTTGCTTGATGAACATGGTAAGTAAATGATTTGTTTGCAATGAACATGACTTGCATATAGAAAAGCACTTGGGACAAAGGGTATTACGCCCAGCGAAGGGGGATTACATGCAGAAAAGGCCCTGCTTGATTCAGTTGAGTTCTAGGCACAAACTTGATGTGACGGGTGTGAGAGACAAGATGGATAGACTTCTTTATCGTAGCAGGGGTGTAGTACCCCAGGATACCCTTAAATAACATGATATTTACAGAATGAAAAAGTCACTCCCTTTTCAACTTCGTTAAGCTTCTGTTGATTTTTTTTCCCCCAAGAAAACCGTCACAGTTCGTTTGGTGCTAATTTGCCTTACTCTCTTTCTAAAATCATCTCCCTCTTTTAATAAAGCAGAAGCCTCAAGCTCAGAGTAGGAGGCAGGCAAGAGTATCTATGGAATGATTAGCGACACCATTTTGTTCACATCGCATCTACTTTTACGTTTTTTTGGGAAAACTGGTTTCCCGTTTGCAGAAGAGATACCAAGTTTCTGTCCAGAGATTTTTCAGTTGAAGAAAGCTCATCAGTTTAAAAAAGAAGATGAAGCGGACAACAGTGTATGTGGCAGCCGGATGGGAAAGTGATACAAGGATTTGGCAATAACCATGAAGGTGATCAGAGAATGCCAGAAACCCAAGAAACACAGATTAAGGACATCCCGAGAGCAAGCTTTCACCAGCCATGATTACTGTGTGCCGTCTCTTCCACTGTTTCTTTTAATGTCTATTTGGATATACTGGTCCATCAAGGCAGACCCCTAGGGCACACGGCCTGCAGGTTATAAATGTTAGAGGGGCACTAAGATCTTTCTGATAGGTTCTGGAAGCTGTTGGATGAGGGAGTCCCAAGTGTGCAGGGCTCCTTATTCATTGGACTTTTACAAAAGGGATTTGCAGTGGGACTGCCCATCCAAATACCATCCATTGCTCATTACTTATTTGCCTCGCTGCATTTTCAACCTGATTTGCCAGACCCCACCTGTGCTCAGAGGGCTAAGAAACACTTTTGTGTATGACCTCTAATTTAGAAGCTCAGGGTCATTATTTATTTATGGACTGTCTAAAAAGATTTTTTCCACTTTCTTCCAGTGCCTAATTCCTTCCTTCCCTTTACTGCTTCTGACACTCAGGAGCAGATGCTCAGAATCTCCAAAATGTGAGCAATAGTGAGACTTGGCGTGAAGGTGACTTTCCAGAGAACACCAGCTGCCCGTGCCTCAGAGAAGAGGCAGAGCCTCTCTCACCCAGTGCAGATAAACTCTCTGGAGCTTCACAGTTGTGGGGAGGGCCTCCCCTGACCCACAGAGGCCACCTCTGCCCCATTTAGAAAAAGGTTCTCTGTCTCCCCACCCCAGCCTCATGAAGGTACATGGTTGGTCAGGCAGAACACAGTCTGGGGTTCTGTCCCCACCTGCTCCCTTTTCCAGTTGCCTTTGTGTATAATATATTATTCTACCACTTGTTGAGGCCCTGAATGGAGACAGACAGGTCCTGTGCCCACAACCTTTTCAAGATTCACCTTCCATTCAGAGAACAATGTTTTTATCTTGGGCTTCAAACATGGCTTCATCTTATTTCCACCATAAAGTCATCTGATCCTCTCTCATTGGACTTCTTTCTCCTCCTCATTTTCTTGTGAGCTTGATCATTGTAGACTAGGAGAATGGTCCAGAAATAAATTAATCTTCAAGTTTACCTGCCTTAGAAACTACCCTCATGTAAAGAAGAATTGTGTGATGTTACAGTTAAGAGCATGGATTCTGGGGCCCAGTTGCCTGAGTTCAAGACCCAGTTTCACCCCCTCACAAATCATGAGCTCTGAGAGTTTCCACAGACTATCTATCTAAATCTTTTCTGAATCTCAGTTTCTTGAGGAACTCAAAGAGTAATTAATTCTTAGAGTCACCATAAAAATGAATAAGCATACTATTTATAAAGTGCTGATTGCAGTGTCTGCCACAGGGAAATCACTCAGAAGATACTATTAGTATAATTCCATGAGGTAGTAGTGACTTTCTTCCTTACAGAAGGAAGCCAAAGCTTCTTCATCTTGTTTTATGTGGCTGTGTCTATAGTAGGTGGTCAGTGAAAGCCAGACCCTTACTTGTCTTTCTAAAGAATTATTTTAGGGCGCCTGGTTGGCTCAGTCAGTTGAGTGGCTGCCTTCAGCTCAGGTCATGATCCCAGGGTCCTGGGATCGAGCCCTGTGTTGGGCTCCCTGCTTAGTGGGGAGTTTACTTCTTCTTCTGCCCTCCCCCATCCCATTGCTTGTGCTCTCTCTCTCTCTCTCTCTCTCTCTCTCAAATAAATAAGTAAAATCTAAAAATAAGAAAAGTTTTTTAGAAAGAATTATTTTGGTTCCAGAAGGGATATGCCAAAGCTTCTGTGTGCCTTCTTCTTAGCTCTTATGTTTATGCAGTTTTGCTCAGCACTAATACTCAGGCAGCTATGCCTTCAGTGGTCTCTTCTGATTTTCCCTCCTGGGCACAGGGGCCTAAACCCACTTTAGGGGGCATTTTACTCTTGCTAGGGCTGGGGCTCTGTTGTTCAGGGAGTATGAGCGGCCCTCCCAGTCAGCCGGTGGGACTGTCCCAGTCTACCCCTGTTACCTGGTGAACTATTTATAATGACCCTTTCACTCTTAAGGTTTTGGGTTTCAACAATGAATTGAGAGGACTTTTTTGCATTATTTTTTCACCCTGAATGCAACTTGAAAATCACTAGTAAGAGAAACATTGTTTTGGAAGGGAACAGATCTGTGAATGGGATAGAAGCAAACACATAAAAAAGGTAGAGAGCTATTGTCTAAACATTGTCCTGGGGATCCCTTTCTGAAGAACATAATTTTTAAAGGTTACTCTCTGTTTTCGCAGATTCTGAGAAACCAAGCCTTTCGGGCATTGCTCAGGGACCGTAACTAAGCACTCTTAAAAGAATACATCCCTGGTAACCCCCAGCTCCAAGCACATTCTGTAGAGACGCTCCTGTCTGAATCCGCTGCCCCACAAATCAACGGGCACCTTTTCGAGTGGCCACTGGCATGATTTTTCGTGTCTCTTATTTGAACCCTCACTTGTCCTCTCTGTCCGCATTGATAATATTTGAGCCCAATGGGCCATCACACGTGCCTTTCGCATGGGGATTTTAGAAACCCTGAAGGATGACTGCCTATCTCCCACAGGCCTTCTACGCCGGTTCCTCCAGGCGACTCCGTATCACACCGCATCGCTCACATTTTAATTCAGCACCGTTCGGCAACAGGCGGAAAATTTATTTTATTCTTACTGATTCATACGGGTTTGTATTCATCAGAAAAGACTGAAATTTAAAGGAGCTGAAGCCCTTTGTAAAAATGGAGAATCTCTCCACCCTGTCAATGAACATTCAGAGTGGGACTGAAAAAAAGTGTTTTTAATTTAGAGCTTTAGAGCATACCTGTTCCTGTTCTTCCCAAACGTCTCATTTGCTAGTTCAGAGCCCAGGCTGGCATTAGATCTCAGGTAGCTCATTATCAATCGTTGTGATAGATATTTTCATATCCTACCAACTTAAATACCCCATCCAGTTCTATCAATTCCATAGTGTCTGAATTTTTGTGTTTGTCTTAAATTATTCAGGAAATACATGCTGCATCCAGAGGAACAATAATGTCTGCCTGGCATATCTCAGGAAACAACAATTATGGCATCATCTATAATTTAGTTTCCTTAATATCATCTCTAGTCCCAGGGAACGGGGAAAGGCAAAAACTCGGTCTGGGGGTAGAAGGAAGCACTAAGCATGCTACCTGAACAGCCTCTTCCTTGCCGAGTCCCAAAATGGGCCTAAAAATCTAGTGCAAAGCCTCTTTTTTAAGAAAAAGATTATGTAGCGGCGCCTCGGTGGTGCAGTCGGTTAAGTGTCCGACTCGGTTTTGGCTCAGGTCATGAACTCAGGGTCATGGGATCGAGCCCCATGTCAGGCTCCACGCTCAGCATAGACAGAGGGAGACCTCTGCCCCTCCCCTCTGTGCTCTATCTCTTTCTAAAATAAATAAGTAAATATTTTTATATTGATAGTTGAATTAAAGGACTCCATGCTATTAATTCAGAGTTTTATTGTGCTGCTGTGTCTCTAGGTACCGAGGTGAAAAGAAAAGGCAAAAATGCTTTCCTAGGGAAATAAACCAGGAAATTCTGAGCCTTGTATCTGAAAAACCCCACACTGAGGCAGTGGTTCTAACTGGGGATGGTTTTGCTCTACTTTCTGTCCCCATGCGGGACATCTGGCAAAGTCTGGAGACATTTTTCATGGTCAGGATTCCAGCTAGGAGTGGGAAGTGCTATCAGCCTCTAGAGGGTAGAGGCTAAGGCTGTTACTGAACTTACTTCGAGGCACAGGGCAGCCCCATGGCAAAAAATGACCAGGTGTAAGAGGTTGAGAAATTCACAGAATTTCTGTGATACAGAATGAAACACAGAAATTCCGTGTTAGGGCCTCAGCTAATGGTCTTCCATTCCCAAGACAATTCCCATGTCCCTCAACCAGCTGGTGACCGAAACTTCCGCTGTGAGCAGGCACTTGAGTTTATTTTCATGGGGGGAGGGACAGTACGGGGGCGCCTGGCAGAGGGAGGACCGGGCGCCAGGTACGGGAGCACTCTGGGCCCGGAACTGCAGTTTGGGGCCAGTATCGACAGGCTCCATGGGGTTCTGCTTACGCTGTTTAGTTAAGAGCACCGGACTCCATGTTCCAGTGGATCCTGGCCCTCACACAATTTCTCCCCACCCATACTGCCCTCACCCCCAACGGGCAGGGAGACAGACCCTGAGCCAACCGGGAAGGGACTGTTTCTGTGCATCCAGCTCTTCGGTCTTGCGATAAAGCACAAAACGTTATGAGGAAATTCATAACTCAATAAAGGAGTCCTACACCAAATTCAATTCTAATCCCAGCTCTGCTACTTCTGAGCCTGGCGAAATTAACCACAAACACCTTTTCTGTTAAAGAAGGACTATTTCACCAGGCTACCCTGTTGGAAAATGGCAATTCATCAGATACATGTAAATACGACTGAAAGGTAAAAGTCAGCGTTCCATCAACAAATTCAAAAGATATATGATGAGTACTCACTGGGCCAGGATCTTCCACCATGCCAGGTCTTACTTTAAAGGAGTGGTCTCAAGCTTTATTGAGCGTCAGGACCGCCTGGGAGGCTTGTTTAAACACTGGGATCCCACCCTGGTTTCTAACCAGGAAGGCTGGGGGTGGTGCTCAGGAATTGGAGCATTTCTAGCAGGTTCCCAGGTGAACCTGCTGGTCAGCGGGCCACACTTGCAGCACCATGGGACTCAGAAACATCCTCCTCTACCTTTTATTTTTACAAGAGCGTGGATAATCTCAGGATTGAGGTGGCTCCAGACACCCACTCACACTGAAGTAGAGGGTCCCCTGCCCGGCTGCACATCTGAATCACCTGTAGAGTTTCTGGTTGTTTCTAACACGCATGCCTGTCTCTCCTCCCATCCCACGGCTAGCCAAGTCTCAGCAGGGTCAAGTCCAGGCACGTGTGTTCGGCAAAAAGGCGCTGGGGTTTCTGATGATGAGAAAGAGCAACAGCTGAGCACTTTCTTCCTTCCAAGTGCTGAGCTAAGTTCTTCCACGGTATTATTTGATTTGATCTTCCCCAGTAACTCGTAAGAAAACTCCTGTTGCCATCCCAACTGTACAGAGAAGGTGTCACCTTTTAAGGTAACACAGCGTGTTTCGTGGTTGAACTTGGACTTGAAGTCACGCAGTCTGACTCCAGAGAAAAAGCTCTGCTTAAGGACAGTGTCTCCAGGCTGAGACTGACCTAATTTGCATCAGAGAGCCACTTGAGCATGACACAGAGGAAGGAAGGAAGGAAAAAAGGAAGGAAAGAAAGAAAGAAGGAAAAACAGAGACAACCTATATGATGATAGAAGAGTTATCAAAATTACCTGTTGGTACATTCGGGCAAGAATACCTTCAACTTTCAGCCGGACAAGTGCTACTCTTACTTTATTAAAATGTCATCGCATTAGCGACACAAAACACTTCTTTGCACAAAACAAAACCCCAGCAACAAAGGCAGTGAGGTTTGTCTTCAGCAGCTCACTGGATGCTATCAGGGGGCAGACTGAGAGGTTTGGCGGTGGGGAGTGTGGACTGTGAGACACAGAAGAAGAATCAGATGCCATCCCCTCCAGTTGCAGCCGTGTCTCATCAAAACCACAGAGCACGAAAATGGAAATGCCAACACTTTGAGGGCCTCTGAAAGCATTATGAGTTTTGTGCCAACAGCTAACATAACGGCCAGTCTGCCTGGGCTGCGGCTACGGCCCTCTTCCTCCTTCCAGGCAGAAATGCAAGGCCCTACACATTTTGCAGGGGCTGTTTCTTGTGGAACTTCAGTGTTAGACTCACGCTCTATGTCGTGAGTGTCAGAACTGAGAAAGACCCTAGAGATGAGCTAGTCCATTTGTTTCTTTTTCTTTTTTCTTTTCCTTTCTATCTTTCTTTTCTTTTCTTTTTTTTTTTTTACAAAAAGAAACTTGGATTCAACATAGAAAAGGGACTGAAAGTCTATGATATATTAGGGGCAGAGCTCGGGGCAGAACTTGGGTCTCTTGGCTCACTGCCCAGGGCTCATTACATAGCCTCTGTATAAATAAAATTTGACTTTTTGGCCCCTGCCTTCCCTTAATACATTATTTTGTTGGGGTTGGGTAGAGGATAACCTAAACTATCAGTCAAAAAATATGATATTTCAGACAGAAAAGGAGGAAAAAGGAGTCTTGCTTGGCAAAGAAATAAATACATGTATCCACATTTGTGTCAGCTTTATAGTAGCAATATTTATCTCTGGAAAAAAAAAAAATCCCCTAGGAGACACTTGGAAAAAAACGCTTGGAAATTCGATATGTAGAACACCTCTAGACTGCTTCCCTCCCAATGCTCACAGGTGTTACCCGGTTAAAATGTTGCCAACAAAAAGTGGTAAGTGGAATTACCAGGGCGCGAGCTCTTAACCACGCAGGTTAAAACTTTCTGAGACTGATCTGCAGGTTTACCAGTAGATGTTCAGCTGGTTGGTGACTATGCTAGTCTTGAGGGCAGAATAATTGTGCTGCTGCTGCCTGGACCCCACTTGCCACCGGCATGCAAGAACTGACAAACGAAGCTTCCAGAGGCTCTCAGAAGCATGGCTGTGCCACGGAGCTGAATGGGGCTTAACGTTCTATGTGGTGCTTTTGTCTCTCCAGGGCACGTGCACATCACGGACTTCAACATCGCCGCCATGCTGCACGGGGAGATGCGACTCACCACCGTAGCGGGCACCAAGCCTTACATGGGTACGAGCTCTGCGAGCGGCGGTGCTAAGAGCAAGGCTTGGCTTTTTTTGTTCCGGTAGACATTTATTCTGGGATCGGTCATCTGCAGACTCTCGCCGCGAGGAATGCCAGGTTCCCCTGTGACCTGACCCAGGGAGCTTCTGAGTTCATGGGTCTGAGATGAGCCTCGGGAGGCTCTGTTTAGCAAGCGCCCAATCTGACCTTGATTCAGGAGAGCTACCAATGATGCCTCGAAACACTGTTTGAGGAGTTGCTTAGGACAGCTTCTACCCACTTCCTATCAAAGAGTAGTAGTTGATTGAATAAATATGACTAATTGCTTCTGTGGGCATGGCATGGTATCAAGTGCTGGCGACCTTGTAAGTGAGCAAAATACACAAGGTCTCCAGCTCATGGAGCTTACCTTCTAGTGAGGGGAGTTTTTTAAAAGTAGAATCGGGGGCACCTGGGTGGCTTAATCAGTTGGTTTCGGCTCAGACCATGATCTCGGGGTCACAAAGTCAAGACCTGCATCCTGCTTCGCGTGGAGTCTGCTTGTCCCTCTCCCTCCCTCTCTGCCCCTCCTCCCACTCATGAGCACTCTCTCTCTTAAATAAATAAATAAGATCTTAAAAATAAAAAATAGAATCAAACAGAAGGTGCAGTAATAAATCGGATAGTGATATGTGACATAAGTACTACCATACCCATCATTTACATAACCCCACATCACACGCCCAGGGCTGGAAAGTTCACGCAGCACCTCCCAGATGTCATTTTCCCTGTAGTTTCAGCACCATGACAAACCCATGAGTTCTCCTTATTAAAGATGGGGAACTGGATTTTGCCTAAAGACTCAAAACACACCAGAGGGTGACTAAAAGGTTAAGGTTAGGTGCCAAAACTGTCAACAAGGTCTCACATTTAATTATGTTAACACTCACAAATTACTACAAATTCTAAGTGCTCCTGTTGGAGTCTCTCTGCGTGGATGCCATTCTGGCAGAACTAGCCTTGCCTCCCACCCACCCTGAGAAACGTAAAGGGAGAACTGCTGTCCTTTCCCCAGAGGGATTCAGGAAGAAGGACTTTACCTCTCTCCCCTCTTAAGATAGGTGAGTCAGATCTCGAAGAGAATTCTCTGGAAAGTCTGTGGGAGACTGTGAGGCGAGAGACCCGACTCCACATTTGATGACCGTCTGGGTCGTTGCCGTACGTGCTGACGGGTCCTGGTACTCACAGAGCCCAAGTTGTCCATGGGGTTGGTTGAGTTTGGAGCTAAGCCTACCTGGGGAGCATAACATTAGGAGACTTATGGACAGAAGTGTGTGAGTGTGTGTCGGGGTGAGGGGTGTGGATTAGCCGGAGGGCGGGATCCAGCCTGTCAGAGACTCCGCCAGTAGCCTGGAGGGAGGGCGGCTCCTCTCAGGGAGGCTTACTGGAAACACCACCAATTCCAACAGACACAACTGTATCAGAATCTTGGAGGTGTCCCCCAGCACAGGGTGCCTTGAAAGCTCTGCAGACGATTCGGCCATGGAGCCAGGATCGAGGAGCTCTGCCACGCAGGAGGAGTGACGTCAGCTATCAGAAGCAACTTACGAGAGCTCACCCCAGGGCGCTCGTGTTATGATCCCTGCCTCCACTAACCCTCTTCCATGACCTAAAATGAATAGTACTCTCTAGGAAAAGGGACGAGGGACATGGCAGCCAGACTGGCCATCTTCACAGCAGGGTGGCTTAATCTAGCTGCGTGCCATGAGAGAGATCTGGATCAGATTCGAGATCAGTCCTTAAATTCATAGGACTGGATTTTAAAGTATCTGCATTAGATGTTTTACTAGGCAAAAAGGATTAAACTGTATTAAGCAAGAGACTACGAACTATCATTAGGGGATCCCCCTTCCCAACACAAATGGGAAGCTAGACACTGCATGACTGTTGGCAGATGGGGGGAAAAGCCCCTATTTCTGCTTCTACCTTCATTATTTGAGATGCTTAGAGAAGATAATGTCACTGGTCAAGCCAGTGGAATTAGGGACGTGTAATGAATTGTACGGACTAGATATGGTTGGAGTCATTTATGAGCAAAATAGTTGACCTTGAAATCAAGGGTAAGAGCAAAGTCACTTTTAATAGGTCATTCTCTTCCTCATATAACTAGAGCAAGGAAGAGAAAACCCCTACATACAGGGCTGCCTCGCTTCCCAGGAGAAAGAAATCCTCTGGGAAAAAATGAGTCTTATTTTAGATGATATTTGAACAACTATAAATTTCCTGGCTTCCTATTACCAGCACGGCTGAATAAATCTCCTTCATCGCTTCTAAAATAATGGACACATATAATTCAGCCTATTTTCTGCCTAAACCTCACAGTTCTCAGGTGATAAAAGGGAATATCTGAGCCCGCTGGTCTGATGAATTTATTCTGCAGGTTTCCTGGGTTTCCATATTAAGGGCTATTTTCTTGGAGCCAAATCAGAATGAGCATCTGGGTTTTCTAGGCCTGGTTTCCATGGTGAGAGGAGTAAAGGGAGGCTACCCTTCTTTTCTCTCCCCAGTGATTTTAAATACAATATCCGTATAATTTAATTCTCCTCATATTTGGCATTTCAGGTCCTTTCACAACACGGAGCTAGGAAATTGGAGTGCATTCAAGGTTCTCTCCGCTATTTCACCTTCATCCTTATAATTAACAATTGCTAATATTTATTGAAAGCTTTCTATGGGCCAGACAATGTGTTAAATGCTTAACGTTCATTTACTCATTTATTTTTTTCTCTGCGAGTCTAGGAAGCAGACTATAATTATCACCATTTTACAATGAGAAAATAAGAAGCTAAGTCATTTGCCCAAGATCACATGGCTTGTAACTGAAAAAGCTTAGATTCAAAGTAAACTCTGACTTCAGAAAGTCAAGCTTCTTCCTGAAAGAGAGTTAAGGGAGAAATTTATTAGAAATTATTTGTGGTCCGTAAAAGGTTGTAAATCCATTTAAGTAAGCCAAAGCATTCGAACTGTTTTTTGTTTCAGTACGAATGAGTATCTGTCCTCCCTGAACTCTGAACCCAAAGGTTGCCTTTGCCTTTGATTTTTGGCTAAGAGTCTTTCTAAGAGGTGTCCTAGGTAGAAATCTGCCTTTTCTTTTTAAAAATTATGATCCAAATAATTTGGTAATATCTAGGTAACAGACATTCACCAGCATCCATACCCATTTTATAGTACTCCTGTGGGATACTAATTAGCATTATAGAAAAAAAAAATTTTTTTTTAAGATTTTGTTTATTTCGGAGAGCACCTGTGCAGTGGACCTGCACGTGTGTGAGTAGGGAGAGGGGAGATGCGGGGGGAGGGGGAGAAAGAGTCCCAGGCAGACTCCCCTCAGAGCATGGAGCCTGACACAGGGCTCTGTCTCAAGACCCTGAGATCATGACCTGAGCCAAAACCAAGAGGGGATGCTTAACCGAGGGAACCATCCAGGTGCCCCAAAAAGAAAAAATATTCTAAGAAAGAAAGAAAACAAGGATGAAATACTGGCAACGACAGGAATATATGACACCTACAAGAGGAGGTGCTGAGTGAGTTACACAGCAGTTTCTTGACTCTGAACCACCTCCCTTTCAGCTCCCTCCTCTCTCCCCTCCTTCCTCACCCCCACTCCTATCTCTGCATCAATATAATCCAGGTCATTTAGAGCTTAACCAATGAAGACATTTTTCTCTTCCCTACTAAAAACAAAGCAAATTCACTATGGAAAAATGTGTAAGATGCTGGTAAGCAAGAGGAAGTTACATTAATCCCTCTACTTGTAGCTATTTATGGTTTCCTTCCAGACTTTTTTTCTGTGCACGCACAAACACGCATACATTCTTGTTTAAAAGTTAGATCATACCTAATTTTTGTACCCTAAATTTTCCCTTTATAATGTGATAACAACAGACAACATACAGTGAGCAGTAATTATGGCCCAAACACTTTGCTAAGCTTTTAACATTCATCGCGCCATGAAATTCTCAAAGCGACCCCGTGAAAGAGGTTCATAATCACACAGCAAGGAACTGGTGGGGCACAAAGGTAAACCCACGTCTAAAAACATCTCTCAAGCCGTAGAACTCATGGTGGTGATGGTGATGATGATGACGAAGGAACAACGGCTGACACAGTCTGAGCTCTGCCTATGTGCCAAGCACTGGTCTAAGTGTGTGTATGACATTCTCTCATGAGGCCAATACTATTGCTATTCCCACTTGAAACATGCAAACTGAGAAATGAAGCACTTTGCCCCAGGTAGAGCTAGGTATACCGCTGTGAGGGTCAGAGCCCCGACTCTTGACTCTCCCAAGAGTCTGCTATGCTGGGCGACCTCTCTGTCTCTGGTTTCTAAACCTGCCTCAGCCAGAATCGCAACTTGTTTCTCTCTGACTCCAAAGGCTGGGTCTTGGCGAATGATACTCTGCTTCTTTTCCCATGTCCACATATAGAACTATCATTTTTCATGATCGTATGCTACAGCATTAGAGGACTGCATCAAATTTAACCACTTCTTTATTGTTGAATGTTAGGTTGTGTCTCATTTTGAAACATAAATGAATTTGTAATGAAACTCCTGTTAGCAGAAATAGGTCCTGCAACTTGATTATCTTTGTGATAAACTCCCATTCAAAGAATTCCTGGTCAGTGGGTATGTATGTGTTAATGCATTTTCCTCCTGAAAGTTCACATTATTTCTGCTCATTTATAGAAGTGTCTGTGAATATTTATTTCCCTGCATTCTCAGCAGGCTGTACAATGAGTATCTTCAATCTTCCTGAAAAAGATCATTTAAAGAGGTCCCTCATGATACTAATACTGAAATTCTCTGACTTCTGTAAACTGTTCATGTTCTTTGCTCGTTTTCTATTAGGGTGTGAATATTTTTATCCTATCCTACTATTTCTTATTGATTGTGTAAAAAAACTCTAGAGCCTTATATATTCAGTTTATAGTGTATCCTATGTGTTATAAATATGATTTCCTACCTTTTAGTTTGCTGTTGTTCTTATGGCATTTTTTTATATAAAGAACTATTTTTTCTAACATCATCACACCATTAGTCTTTTTTATGGTTTCTACCTTTTTTATTTCTTTATTTTTTTTAAAGATTTATTGATTTATCTGAGAGAGAGTGTGTGTGCATGCGAGCGGGGGAGTAGCAGAGGGAGAAGGAGAGAGAGTCTCAAGCAGACTCCGTATAGAGCCAGGGCCTGACGAGGGGCTTGATCCCACAACCCTGAGATCATAACCTGAGCCAAAACCAAAGTCAGTCCTTCAACCAACTGCCACCCAGGTGCCCCTATAGTTTCTACCTTCGATGCTATTCTTAGTAAGACCTACTTTTCTCCAGATTTTGGATATGGTTACCTAATGTTTTTATTACTGTTACACTTTAATTTTTTTTTCCCTTATTCTGGTTACATATAATCTTGACTGAAGTTACATCATAAGGATCTGACTGAACTTTTTGTTAGACCATTAAACAATTGTCTTGCAATAACATATCAAATAATATCTTTTCCATGTTGATTTACAATATGATCATCAAAAACTAAAAACTTATATACAGGTCTACATTCTATTGTTTTCAAATCTTAATTATTACAGCTTTATAATATAATACATGAGACACAAATCTGTGTGTTTTATCTTTTTCAGAAGAATTATTATTCACAGATTTTTGAGGTAGAAGAAATTTAGAAATTTTTTTGTAAATTTCATTATTTCTGTTGTGTCACATTTATGGGTTAGATTTGAGGCCCTTTCTTTCTTTCTTGACCAAGAATCTACTATCTAGGAACACCTACCTGGGTGACTCAGTCAGTTAAGCGTCTGACTCTTGGTTTCATTTCAGGTCAGAATCTCAGGGTCAGGGGTGCCTGGGTGGCTCAGTGGGTTAAGCCTCTGTCTTCGGTTCAGGTCATGGTCTCAGGGTCCTGGGATCGAGCCCCGCATCGGGCTCTCTGCTCAGCGAGGAGCCTGCTTCCCCCCGCCTCTCTCTGCCTGCCTCTCTGCCTACTTGTGATCTCTATCTGTCAAATAAATAAATAAAATCTTTAAAAAAAAAAAAAAGAATCTCAGGGTCATGAGATCGAGCCCCATATCAGACTCCGTGCTCAGCAAGGATTCTGCTTGTCCCTCTCCCTACCCCTCTACCCTTCCCATTGCTCTCTCTCTAAAAATGAATAAGATCTTTTAAAAAAATCTTCTATCTAGGTATTGTAAAACCTGAAAACCAAATGATGGTAATCCAAATAGCCATAGACACATTAAAATGTGGTCAAGCTTATTGGTAATCAGGAGAATGCCTATTGAAACCACAATGAAAGCTCAATCCATAGTTACTGGATTAGCAGAATTCAAAAGGTCAGTTAACACCAAGTGTGGGTAAGGAAGCTGAGCAAAGGAAACTCTGATTCGCTGCTGTTCACCATGTTACTTGGTACTACCCCTTGGTTAAACAGTTGGTCATTTTCCAGAATGTGTGAAGATGCACATTGTACCCCCAGCAGCTCCCCTTCCAGGAACATACTCTATAGATGTGTGGCCTCTTAGGAGCGTTCATGACAGCATTGTTCCAAATTGAAAATATCCAGATGTTAGGTATTCGCCCAGCACAATGGCCTATTTATCACTCAGAGTTTTCCACTGAGACGCCTGTCACCTGTCATCTGGGATACTGGTAAGGGAAAGTGGCAATAAAGCCCATTTGCATCCAATCTGGGGGGTGCTGTGGGGGGTCAGGGCCATTATCTCCCAAAGCGATGGGGAGCTGTGACTTAAAGATACGATGCAGTGATGCGTGGGAGATGAATTCACTGGGGAATGAGGTTCATACAGTCAGGGTCTGTCCTGGGCATCGGATGTCAACATTCAGATTTCTCAGATTGGATGGCATCTACAGGATTTTACTTGGGACTTGAGTATCCTAGCTACGTCAAGCCCGTGTGCAGGCCTCACATCACGCCAGTTTCCTTTGTCCAGAACTGCCCCTTACTGGGAGGCTTGGGTTTACTGTGGAAAGCTGTCCACTAGTAAAATTCCCATTCCTATGAACAAGTGCCTCTCCAGAACCCAGTTTTTGGAGCACTTTCTAGGCACCAGGCACAGAGCTGAGATTTGGGCATGCATTATCTCATTTAATTTCTCACCTCTCTAAAGATCATCTTATTTTGACTTTGCTGAAGAGGATTCTCAAGTTTAGGCAGCAGACTCGTTCAAGGTCAGAATAAGTGGTAAAGGCAGGTTCTGACCCCAGATGGTGTGGCTCCAGAACTAATAACTGTCACCATTGCTTGTTGCCTTGACTCCTTGTTGTTTATTTAGTCAATACATTTCTGTTGAGTGACTCTAGATGCCAGGTTCAATATTAGACACTAGAAGTGTAGCGGTGAGCCCACTGCCCTTGCTTTGTGCTTTATCCCTCACGAGCTAGGTATATTCTTGGAAGAGTATGAAGAAGGTTCATAGGCATCAAAGTGCTTAGAAAATGCATAACTGGGCAGTCACCGCAGAGGGTAAAATTGACTGTAGCTTTGCCTTCCCTTGGAGTCCTTTCAAATAACCGTGTTACAAAGTGTAAGTTTCTCCACCTAATGTGAAACCTTCTATTTCTCAGAGCACCCACTCCCTCCTTCACTCTCCCTCGCCACCAAGAGCAGGCTATAAATGCTACTCTTGGGTCTTCCAGAAGACTGTGAGATGGAGAGCGATCCAATATGCCTTGCACCAAATTCTCAGTGTTGTTTGCAGCAGGAATCCAAATATCAGTCCTTTAGCACAAACCCTTCGACTCAAGGCAACAGAGAACATCTTCCCAGACTTCCTGCTCTTAGGGTCAGCTGAACATTGGAGGCCTTATGGGATCCAATTTTTAATAGTTACGGGATATATACAAGAACAAGAAAATCGGCCATTTTTGCATGCTGGGAGCAATCTAGCAAGGGATGTTAAGCATCCATAACAGTGTTTGGTCCTTTTACTTACCCTGGTGCTGTGCCTTAGGACGAGCACATTGGGAGCAGAGATCTGTTAACGTCGCACGTTGTAAAACTGACCTAACTTTTCTGTATCGTCAGCACCTGAGATGTTCGACCCCAGAAGAGAAGCCGGCTATTCCTTTGCTGTGGACTGGTGGTCCCTGGGAGTGACGGCGTATGAGCTCCTGAGAGGCCGGGTATGCTCGAATTGCGTTGCTCTTTGGTTTTCCAGAGAGTTTCATTTTTAGAATGAAAGAATGGATTTTTTTTTTTTCTCTCTAAAATCAAGCAGTTTGTTTGCAAGGTGAAAACACTATGTCACGTGATTCTTGGGATTACGGCTCATATTCACTCTCCCATATGTGGATCTGAGCCTGTGAGTTAACATTAACTACAGATAAAATTAAATGAATGAGTATTATAAACTCCCAGAGAGGGAAGATCAGTGCACCTCACTAAATACCTTGTGGAAATATATTTGTTTGTTTAAAGAAAACCAATTTGCAGTCACAATACAGGACTCTAACATCCACCTAGTTCCCCAAGATGAGCGTCAACTATTAATATAACACAATTCGTGCCCTGTCTTGTTGGATCCCCCCTCTGTCATTTGGCTCCTGGGTTCTGAGTCCAGGGGCAAATTAGAGTACTTCCCTTTTAAAGAACATATTTCTTAAACAAAAATGCCTAGTAAGAATTTTACCCAGAAAATCTCCCCCCATATTATTTTATCTCTGTGATAGTTCTCTGTGATAGACTGTATTAACATTATCAGATTAACTTTTTCTTTCAATTTTTGGGGTGGGGGAGGTAAAGAAAAGGTACTAACAGATTATTGAATTTAAATCCATTTTGCAAAGTATTGCCCTTTTGAGTTTTTCAGGGTTTATCAATTTTTACCTAATCTCTTTAATATTAGTTTTTTCAGATCTTATTTATTTATTTATTTGACAGAGAGAGAGATCACAAGTAGGCAGAGAGGCAGGCAGGGGGCGGGGGGGAAGCGGGCTCCCTGCTGAGCAGAGAGGCCAATGTGGGGCTTGATCCCAGGACCCTGAGATCATGACCTGAGTTGAAGGCAGAGTGTTACCCCATGGAGACACCCAGGTGCCCCTCTCTTTTATATTTATTAGATTATAAATTCATTAAGGTGAAGCATGTACCTCATAGTTTAGTATTATCCCCAGTATTTAACTCTAAATAGATACATAACAAGTGTGTACTGAATGAATGGGGGAACAAGGCACTACATCAACTCTGCAGCGTTCTAGCAAAGAATCACCAAGTAGGCTGTAGGTTAATTAGGTTTCAAAATCTAGCTAATCACATTTAATTACAACTATCAACACAACTAAACCACAGAGGACAGGCGCTGAACAATGATCTCCTCCACATTTACAAATTCTCATTTATAGAAAAATATACGCCTCAAAGACAAATATGCTTGACATCTCTGTGTTTTCTGAACTTCACTGCAATCTTGATGAATGGGTCCCTTAGCTATTAATCTGCTTTGTCTGCCATTGTAAGGGCAAGGTCCGTCCTTTCTAGCTTTGGGTTATCCTTAAGGGTCAGCTTCTGCTAGGTACACACGTAGCTTTGCACTAATTGTATGTCCTTAGATGCAAATCGTTCACTCTTGTACTCTTGAAATAAGACCACGATCACAACACCTCATTTTCTCCCATCTAATGCTTTACTTTTTCCACCTTATTCATTCTTTATATTCTTGCTCCTATTTTATATGCTGCGTTAAGAATTGTTTGATATATCCTGTCACTGCACGCTGTAATTTCTTTATGGCATGCATTCTGTTGATTTAGGGGTGTGTGTGTGTGTGTGTGTGTGTGTAGACCCTACATAAATATTTATGGTTTCTGAAAGTAGATTATAGGCTCCCCCAGTGTGGAAATCACGTCTCTCTCGTTCTTGTATCCCCAGTGCCCAACAGAGGTGCTGGGACATCATGGGCATTCAATAAATATTTGGCAAGTGAATAAATATGCAATTCTGGTAGCTGATGAATTAACATGGATTTTCAATTTGAGAACTAGAAAGATATGTTATTGTCTAAGACAAAGGCCACTTGGCTATTTTTAATAAGTTGACAGATCATGAGGATTCTTTTAAAATATTAAGTTCAGTCACCTGGGCTTCTAAAGTAAATGGAAAAAAGTATGCTTAAACCAGTTGCCTGTGGCATTTATCAGTTAACTTATTCATTTATCAAAGCATTTATTCATTTATCAAAGCATTTTATGTTTTGAGGGAGAAACAGTAAGTTTAGAAGCAGCAATGAAATGAAGGAAATTAGAAGAAAGAAAAAAAAATGTCTGTATCTAACCGTGGAAAATGAAGCATGCCAAACTTCTCTTAATGGTATAAATGTGGAGTGAATCCTGTGTAGTGAGCCACAGTGGCTTTGGCTAGTAAACACTCCATAAGCAGTGATCATGGTGGTAAGGTATGGAGTACTTCCTTTCTGAGACTGAGTTACACAGGTCAGCTCCGCCATATTGTTACTGAGACAGATGAATTAGCTACAGTCCTTTATTCAGTCTCGTGGGAAGAAAATATGCGGCAGATAGACAAGTTTAGACCTCATGAAAAAAAAAATAAAGTTTGGCGGTCTCCTTTTTAGGGAATCTACTCCAAGCATTTGGTGGTTCCCTGACTAACTTGATGTCGACATATCATGTGTAGAAGTAAGCCTTTCTTCACATGGCCTTTATTGATGACTCGTCTTGCTCTTCACTGTTCACATTTATAGCCGCCCTTTCTAGCCTGTGTACAAGAATCGTGCAAATCTTTTTCCTGCATTGTGTGTAATATGTGCCAGCTGCCCTGTGAATTTTACATGTACTATGCCATTTAGTTTTTCCAACAACCTCACGTGGGGGTTTATTTTACAGATAAAGGACAGATGAAGGAACAAACTCCAATCGAGTGCCTCAATTTGACACTAAAATCCTTTTTTGCCTTTGAAGCTCAAGATCTTAACCACATTACCTTTCTTCTCCCCCAAGCTTCTCTTGAAATTCCGTTAGCTAACAGTGTAATATGATTTTCAGGTATAGAATTCAGTGATTCATCATTTACATGTAACAACCAGGGCTCATCATGACAAGTGTCCTCCTTAATGCCCATCCCCCATTTAGCCCGTCCCCCTGCCCACCTCTCCTCTGGTAATAATCACTGTGTTCTCTATAGTTGGGAATCTGTTTTTGAATTTGCCTCTTCCACCCATAGCCCCATGTTCATTTGTTTTGCTTCTGAAATTCCACATGAATGAAATCATGTAGTATTTATCTTTCTTTGACTTATTTCGCTTAGCATAATACTCTCTAGTTCCATTCACATCTTTGCAAATGGGAAGATTTCATTCCTTTTTGATGGCTGAGTAATATTCATATATATACATATATATATATGAAGTGAGATATATATATATATGAAGTAAGTTACACATATACATATATATAGTATCAGTTCTTCTATATCCATTCATCAATCAGTGGACATTTGGTCAGTTTCCATAGTTTGGCTATTGTTCATAATGCTGCTATAAACATCATGGAGCATGTATCCGTTTGAATTAGTATTTTTGTATCCTTTGGGTAAATACCCAGTAATGCAACTGCAGCATTGTAGGGTGATTCTATTTTTAGTTTTTAGGGGAACTTCCACACTATTTCCCAGAATGGCTGCACCAGTTTGCCTTCCCACCAACAGAGTAAGAGGGTTCCCTTTCTCCACATCCTCGCCAACACCTGTTGTTTCCTGTCATATTAATTTTAGTCATTCTGACAGGTGTGAGGTGGTATCTCATTGTGGTTTTGATTTGTATTTCCCTGATGATGAGTGATGATGAGCACATTTGTATGTGTCTACTAGTCATCTATAATTACATTACCTTTTAATACTAATTTACAACAGGAAGAATATTAAACTCTTCCATCTCTCCCAATTTATTCCATCAGTCCGCAGTCATTTATTCAGTATCTTGAAAAGGCCAGGCACTTGATGAATGTACATAGCCATATTAACTGTCCCACTGTTGGTTAATCTAATACGGAAATTGTGTTCATTCAACAAACATGCAATGAGCACCTACTAGTTGCTAGGTCCAATGGACACATATATGAGTAGGGGATGATCTCTGGCCATAAGTAGCTCACAGTTCACACAAAAGATAAAATCTCATAAGTCTATTTTATGAAACAGAGAAATTAATATAGGTAAAGGCTGCTCTCTAGTGGGCAGCTGTGAAAAATATAACAAAACCACTGTTTTCTTTACACCAAAGTTAAAACTATAAAAGAACGTGGTTCTCTCAGAGGTAAAAATACTACACCTCATCATAAAATTCTCCACCCCACTCCACAGAACTAGCAACTCATAACATTTTGGACTGGAGTTAAACTTTTCTGGGTAACATTCTATCCTGAACTTATTACTGATTCAAAAAGCACAAACAGGTGTAGAGTAAAACTCTGGATCTCTTTCTAATCAACATTTAAGTAGCAGTTTTTTTCAAAGTTCCATTTACTGAACACTTTCCCCATGTTCTATGTAAATACTTACGTAAGCTGCCTTACAGAACAGCCCCAAATTGATATCTCAGAGGTGGATTTAGTGTACAGAACTGTTTAATTTGGCCCAGTGGACTTACCAAAGTTTTTTAAAAATCCTGAGATTTCACAGGAAACTAGAGATTTCTGGGGGGTCTTTTTTTTTTTTTTTTTTTAAATAAAAGATCTGACAACAGTAGACCACATTTGCACATGAAAACAACAATCAGCTGGAAGGGACCAGAAAATGATACGGAGATTTGAAAATTTAAGTCGGGAACATGGGCAAAACAAAATTTTTTCTTTACCCTATAAAAATGAAGACTCTTCCTTCTTCTCTCCCCCAAGAGACCATACCATATTCGCTCCAGTACCTCCAGCAAGGAAATCGCACACATGTTTGAGACAGCTATCGTGACTTATCCCTCTGCCTGGTCACAGGAAATGGTGTCACTACTCAAGAAGGTAAGAAGGAGGACTGCATGACGAAAGGAAGTGGTAAAAAGAAGCATGCCTTCTGGTTTGAGGTGAGAAGTTAGTTTATAATACTGGAGGCAGCCATGATGATACACATTTCTAGAGTGGACTTTGCACCTAACAGCTTGCAAACACATGGCTTCGTTCGGGCAACACACGTGTCCTCTTGTTGAGCCATGTCTAACTCAGTGTGTCCAAAATGGAGTTCCTGATCGCTCTCTATTTCCTGGACTTGCTATGATGTTCCCTTTCTCAGTGATTGGCCCCCTCCATCCTTCCAGCTATGGAAGCCAGAAACCAAAAGTCACCCATCATCCCCATATCCAATTCACAGCCAAGTTCTATAACCTGATTTTGTAAATATCTCTTGACTCTGTCACTTCTCTTTATCTCTACTGCCATCTCCTTAGTCCTACTGCCTTATAAGGTCTTACCTTAAAACTGGTTTGTTCTGGACACTTTCACACACTCCATTTGGTTCTCCCCTCTGCCCGATACTGATCTGTTCAAAGCAAAATTCATTGTCTTAGTGTTCTCAGAATAAAGACCAAAATAATCTATATGGTATAAAGGTTCTAACTACCATCCAAGCCTTATTTTGGACTTTTGTTCCCCTTTTGACTACACATAGATTTCTTTTTTTCTCTTCTCCTTTTCTTCTACCTCCTCACCATCATTTATCAACCTCTTACCACAGGGCCTTTCCTCATGCTCTGCCTGAAATAGTGCCTCCATCCCCAGCTCTTCCAGCTCCCTCCTTTAGGTCAGCACTACTCAATGAGATTCAGTGACTGGTTCAAATCCATAAATTGTTCCCTACAGGTCCATGAGTAGTATAGAAATTGAGAGAAGCATTTAGAAACTGTTATAGCAATGGGATATTGCTGATGTTTCTAAGTACATGGTCAGTGGCCTCATCTCACTGAACAGGGTATTAACTCAAATCACAAGTTGTATGTGCTGCGGCCTGCATATTAGCCATGCACAATAAGACCACATACTGATCTCACTGGGTAGGAAATTAAATGGAAAAAATTGGCCCGCCTGCATAGTTTGAGAAACACAGCTCTAGATCTCAGCTGAACTATCACTTTCTCAGGAAGCTTTCTTCTGTCGTAAGCTCACATAGAACCGGGTTTCCTTCTTACCATTTTTTAAAATTTGAATTTATACATTATATGTGTGTGATTCTTGGGTTAATGATTACTGTCATCTAAGCCTTATGAGAGGGGACCACATCAGGCTTCTTCACCTGAGGCAGCTAGCCCAGAGCCTGACAGGTGGTAAATCTGGTATTTGAATAAATGAGGTCCATAGTGTCCATCAGATTTTCAGGGTGCCCATGTTCATGGAAATGGCAATTGTAGGAGCAGCTAAGTAGTATGCATTGAATGATTATGTGGAGGAAAGAATAAGGAACCTCACAAGATGCACTTGGCTTTCTTTGAAGAGGGAAAATCGCACAGGTTGTGGCTGGCTAAGGACAAGAGCTTTGAGGGCCTACAGTTCACACCTGTGCCTCCTGCGTTTTGGGTCAAGCTCCCTATGTTGGAATAGGGATATTGAAAATGTCAAAGATGAAGAAGAGAGGGGTGATTTTCCATAAGCAAATTGTCCTCAGTTCCAAGAAAGCCCTCCTCACCCCAAAATCACACCCCGATGATCCACGGTTGTAGTCTCGAGGAGCGTTCTCAAGCAGAACTGGCATTTCCCACTTGAGCCACAGGACTGATGTGATACTGACTGTGGAGCAGTTCCAGGGGGAGAATCTTTAATCACAGTTCGCAAAACCCCAAACTCTAATGGTAACCTTGGTTACATCTTATACAATATATTTTGATTAATTGTACAAACAGCTGTAACTTTTAGTAGGAAATTAATTTCATTTGTAAAAACACACAAGCATTCACTACCTAATAAGGGGAGACCTTCTCTTAGGCACTTTATATACATGGCCTCATTTATTCCTAGCTACAACCACATAAAATGGGCTATTATCCCCTTTTTATAGAGAGTAAACAAAGGTTTAGAGGACAAGCTTGCCCACAGTTAATAAAGTAGGGGAATCAGGAATCAAAGGTATGTTTAACTCAACAGGACCATCTATTTTCACTCACCACACTGCAAAAACCTATTTACAGCTCATTCTATGCATGCATTATCCCATTATTTATGTAGGTATTATCTTTATTACTTGATAGGATTAGGGAAGGGAAACACTACCTTGTTTCCTTTAAACCTACACTTGAAAACTTTTAGAGGGAGTTGTTATGTACGATTTTTTTGCCCCATGTTGACCTTCATTATAATCTTGGTGTTTGTATTCTATTTACAGCTACTTGAGCCTAATCCAGATCAGCGATTTTCTCACTTGTCTGACGTTCAGAACTTTCCGTATATGAATGACATGAACTGGGATGCGGTTCTGCAGAAGAGGCTCATTCCAGGTTTTATTCCTAACGTGAGTCAATCCTAACAAATCCATAACAACCCTCATTCAGTTACACATACGGTCTCATTAGATAACCCCACCCGTGTTTGTTGCAACAGCCCGATTCCTGTCTCACAGATGAGACAATGGAGGCACACACAGGGGAAATGGGCCACCGTAGGTCATGTGGCTAGCAAGTGGCCAAGTGGGATTCTCATCCAGGTCCATCGGCATCTGGAGTTCTAGGTCCTAATCCCTTTTTGTGGTATGCTTCTACCGGAAGGAAGCCCTAATCCTCCGAGGAGTCATTCCCAGGAATCTGCTCATTGAGGAAACACTGTTTTCTCAGATTTCAAAGATGTAGAAATTTGTTTCCATGGTTCTGTGAGTCACAGCACTGAAAATGTTGGGGTTATTTTTACCACTCACCCCTCTTCCTTTGGTGGTTCTCTGTCTCAGAGCTACATTCATTAGGACTATAATTCCCACTGGTTGATTACCTGGCTGTGGGACATCTGTGGCCTCGTTCGGACCACTAGGAAAAGCTGGAGTCAGAAGCTTTGGCCAAGAAATCCTCCTCTGCATCACACCACAGCCATTAGCTATCCACTCTGCCTCAGGAGAGGCTCTATGTACGATTCTCTGACTTTACCATCCCTCCAAGTCATCTGGGGAACTTGTTAAAAATGTAGTTTCCTCAGCCTCTGTTCAGAAACACTGACTCTGAAGGTCTGGCCGGGGAACTGGGCAACTGGACAAACAACTCAGGTGATTCTCATCTATATACACAATCATCAGAGCACACTTTAGGAAACATAATTCACAAGTTCAAGCTTTGAAAAAAATGACTAGAGTTTGATTTCCTTTCACACTCACTGAGGGCTTGTGGGGAGTTTAGAAAACAAACAAAATAGAAAATCGAAGACTATGAAAAACAAAGCCGGCCATAAGTTATTTAAAACATGGTAGGAATCGCAGCTCCTTATTCTCGGATGGCTCCATCAGAAGCAGGTGCTGTTCCTGGTATTAGGTTCGGCATCTCTGTAGAATGACCCAGAATCAAAGGAGTGAGCCAACTGGTCTTTCTTGCAGAAAGGCAGGCTGAATTGTGACCCCACCTTCGAACTTGAAGAAATGATTCTGGAGTCCAAACCTCTTCACAAGAAAAAGAAGCGTCTGGCAAAGAAGGAGAAGGAGATGAGGAAATGTGATTCCTCTCAGGTAAGCAGGTACCCCCCAGATTCAGGGTCACGGGACTCTTCCTGGCACCCACCGTTGGGGAGCTCCCGGTGGGAGGGCCACTCAGCACCCAGAGCTGCTGTTTTATGAACGCATGGAGTCGCTGAACCCCCAGGCTTCTGGAATGGCAGGCCTGGGCCGCACTGGGGTTCCTAGCAGAGCGGTTACATTTAGCGGTGGACTCTGGCTCTGCCATGAACGTCATTCAGTTATGGCCCTCCTCAAGCTCTCATTTCAGATTTTACAATATCCTGGAAGACATTCCAATCAGTAGCTCTGCAAACAAATATTCTCAAAGTCCTTCATGTCTCTAGCCCTCCAGGGACACTCTACACTCTCAAAGTCAAGTTAGCCAAGGCCACGTGCAACCCTACAAGTATCTGACCTTCACTGACTACAGGTTTCTTCCTTCTTTAGGACCCTTGCTCTTCCCTCTTCCTTCAGTGTTCTACTCTCAGATCTTCACGTAGGGGATTTCCTATAGTCCCTTATACCCTAAACGCCATTTGCCGAAGATAAGGTCTCTTCGATACTGCTCTCTTTCTCAGCCCCGATTTTTAATTCCCTCGTGACATTAACATAATTTACAAATCCTTATGTGTTTATTTGTTTATTTTTCTACCCCCACTAAAATGAAGGCTCCTTGTGGGGGAAGCCCAGGTCGCACCCACCAGTGTCTTCATACAGCATAGGCTCAATAAACAGGAGGTTCAGTATATTGGAAGGAAAGGAAATTTTGTAACTGGACAGTGAAAATTGGGCATCGCTCTTCTTAGAGCTACAAACCCCATATTTTTCCTTAATCTATCTCAGCAGTGTTCTACAGCTTTTGCAAGTACAAATTTTTCGTGTCCTTCATTAAACTTATTTAGAATTTTATTCTTTTGGATACAATGGAAATGGAATTGTTCATTTCCTTCTTGAATTATTAATTCCTGGCATATAGAAACAATGGATTTGTCTATATTGATTCTGTATGCCACAACTTTGCTGAGCTCATTTCTTAGCTCTAAGCTTCCTTGTGGATTCTGTGGGATTTTCTATCCATTAGACCATGTCATCTGCAAATAAGGCTAGTTTTACTCCTCTTTACAGTTTGGATGCCTTTAATTCTTTTCTTTCCCTGATTGCTCTGGCTAGAAATTCCAGTACACTGTTGAATAGCAATGGCAAATGCAGGCATCTTTGCCTTTTTTCTACTCTTAGGGGGAAATACCTTTTACCACTGAGAATTGTGTTAGCCGTGATTTTTTTTGGAAAAGCCTTTTATCTTGTTGTAGAAGTATTCTATTCCTAGTTTTTTTTAGTGTTTTCATCATGAAGTGTTTTGAATTTTGTCAAATGCCTTTTTCCGGGTCAAATGAGATAATCTTGCACATTTTTCTTTTCTTAGTTCTGTTAATGCAATGTGTTATGTTGGCTGGTTTTCTTATGGTGAACCATTCTCACACTCCTGGGATAAATCCCCCTTGGTCATTGTGTATAATCTTTTAAAGATTTTATTTATTTATTTGACAGAGAGAGATCACAAGTAGACAGAGAGGCAGGCAGAGAGAGAGAGGGAAGCAGGCTCCCCGCCAAGCAGAGAGCCCGATGCGGGACTCGATCCCAGGACCCTGAGATCATGACCTGAGCCGAAGGCAGCGGCTTAACCTACTGAGCCACCCAGGTGCCCCCATTGTGTATAATCTTTTAATATGCCGTTGGACTTGGTTTGCTACAATGTTGTTGAAGATTCTTTTATCTATATTCATAATGAAAATTGTCCTGTAATTTTCTTCTCTTTTGATGTCTTTAGCTGTTTTGGTATGGGGGTAAAGCTGGGTCCACTGAATGAGTCAGTTTTCTTTTTTTGGGGGGCGGGGGGTTTTCCAGGCAAGTTTGAGAAAGATTGGTGTTGTTTCTTCTTTAAACATTTGGTAGAACTCACTGCTAAAGTCATCTGGTCCTGGACTTTTCTTTGTTGGGAAGTTTCTTATTACAGATTTTTACTTGTAGATTACTCTTTACTTGTTATAGGTCTGTTGAGATTTTATATTTCTTCTAAAATTTTTATAGTAATTTGTTTTTTTACAAATTGGTCCATTTCATCTAGATGTTATTTGTTAATATACAGTTGGTCACCCTGGGTTTTTTATTTCTATAAGGTAAGTCTGGAAGTCATGTCCCCACTTTCATTTGTGATTTTAGTTATTTGCATTTTTTCTTTCTATATGACTAATCATTTGTCAGTCTTATCATCTTTTCAAAGAACCAGTGATTATGTTTGTTATTTTTCTATTCTCTATTTCATTGATCTTTGTTCTCATCTTTGTTTTTTCCTTCATTCTGCTAGCTTTGGGTTTAGCCTGTTTTTCTTTTTCTTTTTTTTTTTTTTAAGATTTTATTTTTTTGATAGAGAGAGATCACAAGTAGGCAGAGAGGCAGGCAGAGAGAGAGAGGAGGAAGCAGGCTCCCCGCTGAGCAGAGAGCCCGATGTGGGGCTCGATCCCAGGACCCTGGGATCATGACCCGAGCCAAAGGCAGAGGCTTTAACCCACTGAGCCACCCAGGCGCCCCTGCTTTTCTTTTTCTAATTCATCAAGGTATGAAGTTAGATTATTGATTTGGAATATTTCTTCTTTTCTAAAGTAGACATTTACACCTATAAAATTTCTCTGATTACTGCCTTCACTGCATCCCCTAAGTTTTAGTGTGTTGGGGTTTCTTTGTTTATTTATCTTAAAGTATTTTCTAATTCTTGTGATTTTTTTTTTGACACAATGGTTGTTTAAGAATGTGTTTAATTTCCATGTATTTGTAAATTTCCCAGTTTTCCTTCTGTTGTTGATTTCTAGCTTCATTTTGTTGTGGTCAGAGATCGTTTGTATGATTTTAAAATTTTAAAATGTATTGAGACTGTTTTTTACCCTGACATATGGTTTCCTTCCATGGTTTCTTTTACCTTTCTGAGCATATTTAAGACAGTTGTTCTAAAGTCTCTGGGGGCGCCTGGGTGACTCAGTCGGTTAAGCATCCAATGCTTGGTTTCAGCTCAGGTTGTGATCTTGGGGTTGTGAGATCAAGCCCTGCACTGGGTGGAGTCTGCTAGAGATTCTCTCTCCCTCTCTCTCTCTGCCCTTCCTGCTCACGCTTCACTCTCACTCTAAAGTAAATAAATAAATCTTAAAAAAAAAAAGTCTCTGTTTAGTAAATCCAATGTTTGGGCATCCTCGGGTGTAATTTCTGTTCCTTTGACTGGACCTTGTGATTTTGTTGTTGAAAACGTGACATTTGAATATTATCATGTAGTAACTCTAGAAATCAGATTCTCTCCTCTTATAGAGTTTGCTCTTTTTTGATTGTTGAAGGCAGTACTCATCCTTTTTAAAGTAACTTTTACAAACTACTTTTGCAAACCCCATATTCCTTGTCTTGTGTCATCCCTGCAGTTCCTATTATGTTAGCTTGTGTTTAGCTAATATTTTGACAGAGATTTCCTTGAACACCAGAAGCATTTTTAAGTTGCTTTTTTTCTTGATTTAGTGTTTCCTTGGTTGTTAAAAAGAACTTTGGATTGCTTTCCAGAATTCTGACAAAGTTAGCTCTGACAGTTTCTGCTTGTTTTTTTGTTTCTGTTGATGGGAGCTTGGAGCTGCCTACTCTAATATTCTGTTCCAGTTCCTCTTAATCTGGTACCCTAAGTTTAAAAATAAAAATTATTTTGCTTTACAGTAAAGGTTAGTATTCCCAAAAATAATCAGAAAAGATCATGAATCTCAAAATAGCACTCTATCTACTCTTTGACATCAAGGTTTTTAAAATGTGAGGATCAATCTTGGCAGCTCATTACAGTATGACCATGTTCATTCATTCATTCATTCAGTCCATGATTATGAAGTGTCTGCTTTGTCAGGAAATGTCTCTGACTTGCTAGTCATTGCTGCCCTTAGAGGTACACAGTGCTCTGGGAATTACTCACTCATCCTGAGTGAGGGTCCAAGTTAGGCTTTCCAGAAGAGCGAACATCTGATCTGGTTCCTCTTCTGGCCCAAGCCTCTTGAACACAGCATGAGTATTTCCTACTGTTGGCAACCATTTGCCATTTTGTTTCTTTTGAAATAATGAAGGCATTTCTAAACTCTCAGGATATAAGTCCTGAAATGCCCTTATCCTTTGTTTTCTGTGCAGTTGTCTCTATTCAACCTAGAGGAACCAGATCTGGAACCAGATCTGGCTTGGAAAAGAGGTCAGTGATCCAACCATGATCATTTTAGTGATAAGGCATGGTCTCCTACTACTCCCTCAGTCTGTAAACACTGCTTCCTGGTTAGGAAAAAACAGGCACAACAAACCCATTGGCTTATCTTCTTCTCTAAATTCCATCTGCTTTCTTATTTGGCATTTCATTAAAATGGAAATTTTTATAATGTAGTCTTTTTTTTTTTTAAGATTTTATTTATTTATTTGACAGACAAGTAGGAAGAGAGGCAGGCAGAGACAGAGAGAGGAGGAAGCAGGCTCCCCACGGAGCAGAGAGCCTGACGCGCAGCTTGATCCCAGGACCCCGGGATCATGACCTGAGCTGAAGGCAGAGGCTCTAACCCACTGAGCCACCCAGGTGCCCCAAAATGGAAATTTTTAACATGATTTTTAGCCAAATTAATTGTATTAATAGAGCCATCATTTTCATTTAAAGATGTGCTTAAATATCGCACAAACCTGTTAACCCGTGTTTTATCTGATCTGTTTGTTTTGGTTAAATTGTTTTAAGAAGGGCACCTGACTGGCTCAGTTGGTTAAGCACCAACTCTTGATTTTGGCTCAGGTCATGATCTCAGGGTTGTGAGATTGAGCCCCACATCAGGCTCCATGCTGGGCGTGGAGCCTGCTTGAGATTCTCTCTCTCCCTCTCCTTTTTGCCCTTCCCACCCTCTCTCTTTTTTTAAAAAAATTGGTTTTTTTTAAAGATTTTATTTATTTATTTGACAGATATTACAAGT